TATTCCGCTTGATGTTTTGTATCTCGTCTTCTTATTTCTAATGAAATAAGTGCACGTAGCTATTGCAATATTTGGAGGTAGGACATTTTTAATACCGCCGTGCCTCAAAGAGTTAAGAAAAAAAATGTCGACTTATAAAAAAGACTTTTACTTAAGAATGTTTGTACGTAGTAATGGTATATTAATAAATCTGCAGACATGTCTACATGTATTAATTAAATATAAAAATTTTAAAAATATTATAACATGGGTCACATAAAAAATGTAAGTGGTGCCAAATTTTTGACCTGCAGTTTCTACACGATATAGCGTCAATTACCCGGATCTATGTAGAATTGTTGTTTTCATCAGGAATTTTTGGAAATGAGACTTTGGTCTGCATTTTCTCTTATTGTTTCCCTCTCTATTCGACAACCTTCTGATTTTTTCCTCTTCCTCTTGCTGTACCTTTCTGTCCATTCTAGTCTTTTGCCATCATCTGTAGGTAATCCTCCAAATTCCTTTTCTATCGTGTAATTTCTTCATATTCTCATCTCAGGTGCCTAGCTATTGGAATTCTTTTCAACATAACTCGTATTTCTTCTTTTCTTCCGCCATCCAATATCTATTCCCTTCTTCCTCGTTTCCACATCTGAGTTCCATCTCAATATCTCTTTGTAACCTAACCAGCTATTAGCATTTAATAAATGCATCAATAGAAATCCGCAGCGTTATATTAATATAAATAACCGAATTTTTTTTATATTGTGCAATTTATAATCATTATCTACTACTTATTTAGAAAAAACAATTTATACGTATAATTCAAGTAACAAACGCATCAATCGAACGCTACTGAATCGTTAACCTTTTAGCTACTATACGCCATTATAATGGCATTCGTGTATAACATCTTTTTGAACGATACACCACTATAGCGGCATAATTCTCTCTGTGTCATCAATAGCTATGCACATTATAATCTAATCTAACGTAATTGCGCAGTGGGAAATCCTATCAGTCTCAAATCGCAGTGCCACATTTATGATACGCAGACCGCGTCAAACCTTGCGGTGCGGAAGTACAATAGCTTGGCGGCTAGTCCTGCCGTAGCTGAAAGGTTACAGATCAAATGTTGCGTCGATTTTATAATTCATATACATTGAAAGATTCATTTACGCTTCTTCGGTGAATTTTATTGAGAAGGTTGAAACGAAGATAATAGTTTCCTGTAAGACTAGAACTGCCGAACAAATAAAGTGACTTATTTTTCTAACATTCTACAATAATCATAAAAATTTCTTGAGGTTTGAAGAGTCTCTTACTCTAGTATCAGTACAAATACACAAATTTATTTTATAATCTCTCACAAAAGCGTATTTACAATTTGAGCAAAATGAAGATTCCGGGATGGATCAGTTCGACTCGTCTAGTAGTCCTAGTGCCAAATGCCACAAAAACTAGCCTTCAGCCTTTCAAATCTCCCACAGTTCACACCGCGTTTCGCCATTTAAACGGAAAGTCAAACAAAATCAGCTACGCATCGAGCGCATTACTCGCTTTCACGAACGTGATCAGCCCAGGTGGTTCCCCTTTACCGCTATAATACAACGTGTCGAATTGTTTCAGGCGCCGGATCCGTGTCCAAGCTGCGCGATTTTGACGACTGGCAGGATCAGCGGCTCTCGACGACGGACGACGACTTGATTTCCCCGTACTCGGACTCGTCGACGAACGAGCTCGACCAGATTCGGCCGCGGGACCTGACCAAGAACGGCACCTACGTGATACGCCGCGGCCGAAAGAAGGAACGAAAGGGTTTGCCGAAAGCGCCCACCAAAACCAGGAGCTTGTCCTTCGAGAACGGTGAGGAGACGCGGTTGTCGGACGCGAAACGATACTCGAGCACCTTCGACAACATCAGAAGCTTGCTGAGGGAGGGCAAAGTAGAGCCACCGCCACCATCACAGTTGCCATCTAACGGACAGTCAGACTTTCCGTCGGCAATCCCGCCAGACCTGGTCAGAGGCGTCTCTCTGCCAGCCATCAACGACGAAGTTGGTACACGTGGACAGTTAGAGGTAACTGTGGAGGAGGAAGAGACGTCGGACTTCTCTGACAAGGACAAGACGCGAGACAGAGTCCAGCTGGCTTCTAGATTGTCGCCTTCCCTCGAGTCCCAGCGTCGCGCGAAGATCGAGCAGAGCGAGTCCACGAACAGAGTCTTCATCTCGACGTCGAAGAGCTGCTCGAACAACAGCTGGGGTGGCAGCAACGATCGAGGGAGGATAGGCACCTCGAACGCGATCGAGGAACTGCCGATGGGCGGCTCGAGAAAGTCGCCTAGCGCCGCTCGTGCTGATCATAGGTTGGCCTCTAAAATCCCGGTGAATCTGCTGATCGAGGAGCAGATCGTGAAAAAGGCCTTAAAGGAGAACCGCCGGCAGCTGGAGAAAGTCAGCGACGCTATCAAGGAGATCGAGAGCGTGAAGAATAGTGAGTCCTACTCGGAGAGCAAGCGATGGAAGAACGCTGTTGGGGACTCGAAGTCTCTGTCGTTGTCGACCAACAAGAGGAACAGCCTCGAGATCGAACCGAAAGCGATCGACGGCCTAACGGAGGCTCGCGGCAGGAAGCGACACGACTCGGACATCGAGTCCGATAATTCGAAGAGCGGCGGCGGGCCCGAGGTGGACTTCGACGGGAGCAGAACGAACGGAGCGGATATAGAGGGAGTGATCTACAGCTCGGAGAGGAGGTCGCGGCAGAATGGCGTTGTGGAGAGCCACAAAAATGACCAGAAACAAATTGAGAATGTTATCGACGCGATACTCGAGGATTCGAAGAATCCGGAGTTTCAGGTACTTAGTAGTATGGACAGTTTTGAGCCCGGTTAGGTCTCGATCCACTTTGGTCCGCTCTCGGTTCAATCAGTATTCAGTTATAGTGTTTACGATATGAATTGTTGATGTGATATCAGTTGCATTTTGCTCGATTTTCATTCACTAACAACAATAGACAAGGAAGGAACTTTGAGTAAAGAATAAGTGAACCGAGAAGGGCAGATAGTGTACATCGGGCTTTAGAGGATCAGTAGAAACTACTGTTGTAAAAAGGATACTCTAAGTCTTGAGCTCTAAAAGCTAGTGTTCGACGTTCGAGACTTTGAGATTGAAGACTCGAGCCATCTGTTGCTATATTAACACCGCAGAATTCAAAGCCTAACTAAATTGGAAATGTCTTGAAAATTGAATTCAAAGTTTGAAATGTTCAATGCCGTGTTACTGTAGTAAGGCTGGAGTTTTCGACTGTCTTCAAATATAAAGACTCGAGCGTTGAAGGCTCTCAACAGTCAGTTCCAGTTTTTAAAGCTTCAAGGCTGCGTCTTGGAGCTTCGAAGACTCAGCAATTGCAGTTGAACGTTGAAGCTTTATTGGACTCTAAGTCTTTAAGATTAAGCCTCGAAGCTTCAAAGACTCGAGCGTCCGACAACACTAACAAACAATGCAGGACCCATTCTAACCGTGTAATTTTTAGGTGAACGTCGAGGTCCTCGAATTTCCTCCGTTGCCACCTTCGCCGGTAGAGGAGGCGGACGAGGAGAATTCGGACATAGGGCAGAGCGGCGGTGCGGTCGCGCCTAGACCCAAGGCTCACAGCAGCAACCGAACGATGGAGTACAGACCCAGGGTGCCGCCGCATCGCGGGCCATCGGCCTGTATCGCCAGCGACTCAAAAGACCATCAATCTTCCTTGAACACCAGATCCATGGACGCCGGATACTCTCGCGGTAGACGCACGCCCGGGACTGCCACCAGTTCCAGGCGAGAGGCAAGTCAAATCGAGTCGAGTTACTTCATCTCTGTCCCTTCACCACTTAACACGTTGACTGCCACGGTGGTCACCGATGATCGGAGCTTTCAAATTACTTGAAAACAATTATAATTTGTCAGACAACTGACGTCGAATGACAATGTTTAACAGTGTAAATAAAGAGATAATAATGTAACCCAATGATCGCAATACCAAAAAAGAAGTAATCGTTCCTTCTATCTTCGCTATGAAAGAATAAACGATACATAAAACTCTAAAGTTTTTCGTGGCAGTCAACGTGTTAACCTTCGGTTGTTTAGAGAACGCTTAATCCCGACCCGATACAATAATCACGGTATCATTACTATCGAACGAATGTCTAACTGTTAGATGGTTTGCTCCAACAGCAAATACCTGCAGAGCGACGGACTCTACCCACGGATTTACCCGGGCCGTCTCGCCGGCGGCCATTGACCAAGCGGCACTCGCCGTTGACGGAGCCCTGCTCGAGCTCCTCCGGCAGCGGCAGCAACGGCAACGGCAACGGCAACGGAAACGGTAACGGCAATGGCAACGGCGGCGTCGCCGGCGGCGCGGCCAATGGAATAGGAGGCTCCGTCTGCGGCACCACCGGCGCGACCAGCGGTAACGTTTCGGCAGGTTCCGGAATGCAGACGTCCTGCTCGCTGCCGGAGACACCGGTGTTCACCAGAGGCAGCGACATACCGAGGACGCCCCAGCACGCGAGCAACCCGACGCAAACGCGCCGGCAACCTGGTTGGTACGCTCCGACCACGTCTACCACTGGGTAAGACGATGACGAATAGAAAGTAGAAGTAAAGTATCCAAGAACGTTGTCCAGACGCGCTGTATTCTCTCGGTGCAACGAATGGGGCGCCTATCCTGCAGCGTCTCGGACGCTGCCTCGCCAAGTCGTTCAGTTCCCGGGCACTGAAACAGAATTAATATTAGCGGTTGTATCCGTTTCACCGAGAATACCGTAACCCTTTGAATTTATCATGGATCGATACAGACCAGGAAGACATTTGCTAATCGTTGCTGCGAACAACGGCGACAGGTATCGGAGAAACAATCCGGGTTTGGAACAGGCGATCATCGGCACGGAGCTGCTGCGGCTGGCCGGCGGGCCGAATCGCGGTTGGTATCCGACGAGGAAGGCGAATCAGCCGCGGCCGGCATCGATCGAGCACCTAGAGAGGTTAAACAACGCGTTCGACGCTCGGCTGACCGGACCCGGCGATCAAAGGAAACCCCTGACTCTGCCCACGAACATCACACCGAACAAATACTTCGGCCAAAGTAAGCACAGCTCCTCCTCCAGCACTCGCGAGGCGCTACGGAGGGTCACTAGCTTGCTCATCAAGAAAGGTAAGCGCTGGAATTTGCGCTATTACGGAGAGAGAGAGAGAGAGAAAGGGAGAGAGCCCGCGGTCGCCACGATAATACCGATTATGAACGCGCCGCCCCCGTCGAAGGCGTGACGGTGCCTCTCGCCAGGCCGCCACGGTTCCTGATCAGACGTTATTCCGTTCGCTTTCCCGTTTCGCTTTCGTTTTTGGTCCTGCGCGACGGTAGGGTAGTTCGCCGCAAACGAGACACAATGTTGGGCAAATGTGAATTGCATTAACGGTTAACACCGTTCGCTACCCGCGTTTGTTTCAGTGGCGATCCTCTCAATTATAATATTTTATTCGATTCAATAGATCTTCTAAACAAACTATTGAAACAAATAAAACGAGTCATTGAATCCCTAAATGTAATTTCGTAGTTTATAACTTTAACTAACTATATCTGTAGAATTACATTTCATTTTCTTTATATAAAATATAGGATTGCGGCCGTCACAAATATATGACACTGGTAGCGAACTTGTTAACGAGTTAACTGCGTCTGACGAGTGTACTTGTCACCTGGAAATCTAAAATAATAGTAATGGTTTCGGCAATTGTTTATTTCTTTTTTCAGAAACACATAATTCTTTTTCTATTTACTGTCTGTTTGTTTTCTGTTTTAATATGTGTAAGTGTATTTGTACCTCCTTTGATGCGAGCACTTGTTATTATTTCATTTTAATTGATTATTAATTATTGTAATTGATAATTGTTCATGGAGATTTGTTAATTGTCTTGGACAAGAGCATATAATTAATTCTAAAGAGATATGTTTACAAATGAATGTAAACACTTACTGAATTACATATAATCATTTATGTATGTGACAGATAACTTATCGGAATGTCTTTCCGAATTTCAGGACTTAAAATCGTCATTCACTTGCAAATTGATATCGCTCGACATTATTTTAATTGACAATTAAATTTTTTGCGATCAACTCCAATTACAAATTAAAATCACTTATCACTGAATATATATGCAATTTACTTGGACAATTAGTTTTATTTAATTAATTGATCCATCGTACTAAACATCTCTGAATTGGACCGAACCCAAAGGACCATAAAACGATAACTGGAGCATAATAGCGAACGCAGTAATCTTGATCGCGAACCGGCCACGGTCGCGAATGATCTTCGGAAATGACGCTTGGAAAGTTGCCTTGCTACTTGCTGTTCTAACGATCACGCGAATCAAATCGCGGACGTTCTCGTCATTTCCAAGATTATCCGCATCGAGATTACGGACAGTGTCTACCTTTCTTTTCGAAACCTCGTACGTACCCGTACGAAGCTGCCTTGCGTGAAAAAAGAAGTAACTTTGCGGGTTGTTTCCTGCGTGACCTTTCGTGGCACTTGAGCGCCACTAAAATTTACTTTTAGCTGTTTTACATTTCTTCCAGTAGTTGTGTCAGTATTTCTTTTATATGCAAGATTTCTGTTAGCTTCATCGATGTCTGAAGCCGTGACGTCGCGAGGAAGAGGTTAACTCGAGCAGCTTCTTCTTCGCGACCAATTCTATATAATGAATGGTCGTGTTTGGCACGTGTTCGCAGCGTGATTTCATTTCATTATTCATCTTATCGTCGTTATTATTTTTACTTAGCTCCTTGTTGCTGATTGACGATGCTTCCGCAAGCTTGTAGAACATTGCAAGTGGATGCTGTGTTTATTTCGAATCGATGATGCAAAAGCACGCGCGAATTCGTTTACGCGCTCGCCGAGTTCACGACTTCGCGGACAGATGGCGACTCGAATCCGAAAAGCAACCGACCACCGAAAAGAAATTTAGAACTGAATTTTTCGTGTAGTCAGTGTGCTGGTAACCATCGTGTACGCAGAGGTTAGATTTCAAAAATATTTCGTGATATGTCAGGCACTAATTTGTTAAAAAATATACTTACCTACATATCTATAAATTTCCCTTTCTATAAATTTCCGGTAGAAAATCAAACACAAATTTAAGGGGCACGTGTTATGTACAGATTTTTAAATCGCGTGTTACAGTGCGTGAAAAGTAGCGATATAGCAATTTGCAGATATTTTGCGTTATATCAGAACTACAAGGGTACCTTTAATTTATAAATAGTGTTGTATAAGTACAACGCTATACAATGGTTACCTATAAATCCAAAATGTCCACAACGATTCGGAAACAGCAATTAATTCTTCGCTATACAATCTTTGCAACTATGCTTCTCAAATTTATTTTTATTAACACTAGAACTACTCAGTCAAAATGAATGGTTTTGGTTTCTTTGTTTTGCAGTTATTGATATCTTTAAACAAGCATCGAATGTTTAAAACGATCTTGAAAAGAAATCATTTTATTTGACTACTATAATGAATATCTGAAGAAACTGAAAATAATCTATTGTTACAATTTTTATTGGGATTCCATATTAATCGTATTAAATACTTTAGGTAGTTTTAGTGTTAACAATACTCTACGAGGCCATAAAAGAATTTTCAGTTAACAATAAGTATTACATCAAACCAGAAATTTTCATTAATACGTTGAACGTCGCACGATTTCGCCGAGCAAAATACACACAATGGAAAAAGTATAATCACAATAAAACTAAATCGTTTGATTGAATTGCATTATGATTACATGTTCATCTATCTGAATGTCACCGTATTAGGTATCATTATTTATAACTTAGAAATGTTTTCAACTAATCATGGTTTCATTGAGTGAACCACAGTAATTCGATTTTGTTGGGGGTCACCGGTGACCCCCATGGCATTCAACGTGTTAACCCTCTATGGGCCGAATTTTTGTTCATGATTATAATAAAATCTATGCAGTACAAAATGAATAAATATCCACATATGAATACGAGTTAATAATGTATTCAATAGTTTCAATAATCTCATCGAACGAATATATTTTGTAACTTTCAAGTTACAATGACATTAAACTTTCACGCCTGAGCGTATAAAAGTTTAACTTAACTGATTACTTAATTTTATTCACCACTTTGAGTGCAAAATCAAATAGATCAAGATGCCGATATACTGACACGTGACTTCAAAGTTACATGGGCCTACAGAGGGTTAAGTATCTCATTCGCTTCGAACAGCAGGCGGTTAACCGCGCGGGAATCGAATTTTTCGCGATTCGCAATTTACCTGTCTAGTGTCTCCACCTACCGAGCAGCCAGCGCGGCGCGCCGCGAGTCAACGTATTTATTCTTCGATCGTCGAAGCGACCGACCTTGAAAATGCCATAATGTAGCAGAGCGGAGACACGTGCTGAACGAGAAACTCGTTCGCGTTACAGATCGGGGCTCGTAGCTCGCGTTTTCATGGGTCAATCCTTCGTTCGGTTTTCTCGCTTACCGCGCTAAGCGTTCGTGGAACAGGCGGGGCAATAAAAAAGGCATAACCTGGCCGAGGTGCAAAGACCTACGCAACGTCGCGGCCGAATTTCTTTGTCCTTCGAGGCTTTCTTTTTTTCAAATATTCTCGAATCTCTTTTCTGTCGTCCGCCGCAGCCGACCGTCCGGCCGAGCAAGATTTCGGTTGCGTCGGCGGCGAGGACGAAGCGGCGGTTAGCACGGATCAATACTCATCCGCGCGGACAGGTACAGTGTCGTCGCCGGTCCTAGCATTTCTTCCGTTTCGTTTCCTCGGATTCCGTCGAACGTGTTCGCCCGAAAAGAACGGTCGCCCGACCCCGACGCGAATCCGCGAGGCGACTTCCTTTTATTATACCGAGCGTTCCACCGAACGCATACAGAGGAACGCGAGGACAATGCACATCGCGCGACCGATGTGCACGTCGAATCTTATCGCTGCCGGTTATTTTTAGAACGCCGCCGCGGTACCGACGCGGAAAAAACACGGAGCCTTTTCCGCGCCCGCTCCGAGCCGCGGCTCGAATTTTCGCGATCGTCATCCTCCCTCGAAAGTTTCAAGTGCTCTTCGCGAGTATCGCGTGGACGGCAGGGTCGAGCGCAAGCTTCGCGGCGTATCGTGCGCGGCGATAGGCTTGCGATAAGCGATAAACTAGCCAGACGCACGCCGATGACCAGCCGCGCTCGCGCGTGCGCCTGAGCGGCCCGAGTCTCGTCTCGACGTTCGTTCCTCTTTCCACGAAAATCGGCGTCTCGCGAGCCACGGAACTCGATCGAGTAAACGACCGAGAAATGAGAATGCTTACGTGAGAGCCTTAGTGACACGTGTATGATGATTTTGATGAAACTTTGTGTTCGGAAGTTTCTCGCTAGAAGTATTTCAGATTTTTTGACAAGGCGGAGACGATATTCTTTGAAATTAATTCGAAGGGAAATCACAAGTACATTGAGGAACAAAGCTATTTTATTCCAATATTCCACGCATCGAGGCATTATACGAAGTTCAACGTTAAATTTCAGATTTTATAGTTTTACCGCGTCAAATAAAGTGGTGACTAAGAATCACCTCCCGAGAGCAAAGGGTTAATCCTTTACGATCGGCACATTTGTCTGGTGACGGTACCAATTAGTCGAAGCAAATATAAACATTTTCACAGTTATTTTTCTATAGGTGATTTATAATAAATATATGAATATTAAAAATTTGAAGTCAATGTGGTTTGTTGAATATAAATTCTGTAAAGAATAATAAATAAAATGACACTGTACTTAGAAAAAAAGAACATGCCGCCATATTGCTGAAACCGATTTCGAAAACAAATGTAAATGTTGTCACTGTAGCGGCACCGATCGCAAAGGGTTAACTTGCCGTACAATGACGAGAAAGACTCGCGATGAAGATTTCTAGACTAATTTAAGAACAATGTTGTTCGTTACCCGCAGATCAAAGCAAACAACTATTTTGCTATTCAATGTATTATCTTCACTTGAAGTAGAATGGAAAATTTTGTTGCATTTCTCCCGAATTGTCGATAATAAAATATTAGACGAGGTTAGTAGCAAAAGCAAATAGTACACCAAGGGGTTAATCAGCTTTTGCCTAAAAATTTCGT